TGGCAGGCAGCTGCAGCAGCGGGCACGGAGCCGCGAGCGCCGGCACTGCGGGGCGAGGGGCYGTGCCACGCTCCCCACAGCCACCCCGGTGGCCAAAGGAGAGGCTGTGGGGCAGGGCACRAGGGCTCGGGCGCTGGTGGAAGAGCGGCCCGCGTGTGCGGGGCTTGCGCTGCCCGTGGTGCCGGTGCCCGGGCCCGCTCAGAGCAGCCCTGCTGCCGGCAGGGTTTCCTCTGGCCGCGAGCAGAGCTTGGGCAAACAGGAGCCCGGCCGTCAGCGGGGCAGCTGCCCCAGCTCCAGGATGTCACAGGGCTTCTGGTTTCCTCCAGTCTTCAGCTGTTTAAACCACTAMTAAATTAACAGTAGTTAATGCCATGCATGGACAGCTTGTGGGCTTTGCGTTGTTGATGTAACTCTGCATTTCATTACTTGTTGTTTGACACAAGTTGTGATTATTTCTGCTCATTTCCCGTCCTTGCGGATTGACGTGGTTAGCATGACTGCAGGTGGTGATATGGGTTTGACCCAGATTCAGCTTGTTTTGTATGGAAGAAGGGGGTTTGGAGTAGAGGTTGACTTTGCCTTTGTTTTGCCAGGTACAGCTCCCACACAGAAGGTTGTCAGGACTGACTTTAAAAGAATTTGCCTGCATAATAGAAATAGGTCTCTGGTACCTTGCAAGGCTGGGCTGTGTGATGGATATCGTGCTCCTCAGCACCAGCATGCTCTTGCTTCTGTGTCTTGTCTCAATACTAAAGTCAAATGATGCAATTGATGCAATTGCAATTGATTGTATTTAAGTCTTGAATTGCAATTGCAAGCTGCAGTTCATGCAGCTCCTTGGGCTCCCCACACCTGCATCCGGAGGTGCCAGGTATCCAGGAGGCTTCTAGTTTGCATAGGAAGCTCTCAAATTGCACATTGCAGTTGCATACCGTTGCATTGTATCTTCCATACCCCTTTTTTTCCTATTAAATCCACTGCTGGCTGTCTCTTGCTAGGCCATCCTCTAGCCTAGGGGCAAACGCAGAGCCATGGAGCCCAGGGCTGCCATCAAGAGGGACTTAGTAAAAGCCACCGGGCATCCTTGGCACTCTGGTAGGCCTGGTGAAAGCAGCGTGCCTCCCCAAGCACCTTTTCTGCCGCTCACSTTCACTCGGTTATTCAGCGTGGATGGCTTGGAGAGGGATTTGCTCGGGAGGGTCGCSTTGCACGTCCGCAAATGCTCCGTGGTAGCCGGGGTGAGCGGTGCCAGAGCTCCGCTCCCGGCGCATCCCAGCGCAGCACGTCCTGCTCGGGCAGCCCGGCCTCCCCACGCGGCTCCCCGCGTTGATCCCGCGGGGGAGGCCGGCCGGCCTCCCCCGCGGGATCAACGCGGGGAGCCGCGTGGGGAGGCCGGGCTCCGGTGCCGGCTCCGCGTCGCTCCCTGAGCCCGGGCACGTCCCCCCTCCAAGGCTGCTGGTAGGAGGCTGCGGTTAAAAATGATGAGCCTTAAGTGGGGCCAGCCTGTGTCATAAAGCTGTCACTGCTGATGGAGATCTCYGGTTTGAGTGGCTTAGCTCCCCTCTATGCACAATGGCTGGAGGAGCCGGAGCTGAATGCAGAAGAGCATAAAATATATTACGGCGGAGTCGGCAAACTCGCTTTCCGAGCAGAGCGCTCTGTGCTTTCCCACATTTCCAGCTGGACCCCTCCAAGCAGCTTGTGCCTAAGAGGARTTCGTGTGACTCCTCCACCCCCACGTAGCAGTCAGGGCAAAGTGCGTGGTAACAGGACAAAATACCATGATAAATCATAAATATTGGTGCCTGACTCCTCGCCAGGCACAGGCAGCGATCGCAGAGAAACCATCTTGGCCGTTAATCTATCCGAGCAAGGAACATCTGGCAAAACAGCATTCAGTCTTACCCACGCTTGTTTTTGTCCCCGTGTCACAGTTCTTCTTGCCTTTTAAGCAAGCATTAAAATGAAAAAATAGCTTYTTTCTTGTCTAGTTTGTTGGCTACGCTTTCCTGGGGCTTTTCTGCCAGCACAGAGACCAGCACAGGGTGATGGTGCCAGAGCAGGGAGGGGGAAAACGGAGGAGACAGGGAATGAGCTCCCCCCGCATGCTTAGCCTTCCTTCTGCCTTGTGATTAATTGCAATGAGTGCTCATCTGTAATTTTAGAGAACAATCAGATGACGTGCCTCGTGGGGGATTTAATTGAAACCCGATGAGCCCTCTCGAGGCCGCCTCGCGCCGGGGAAGGCTCTGCTGGAGCTGTCCCCGTGGCCGCGATGGCCTCCGGAGCGCACGGCGCCGCTTCCCAGCCTGGACACAGCGCATCCCGCTGCCTGGCTGCAGGAGGTGCTGGCCTGGTGGGTCCCCACGGACACGGAGGGTGCGTGGGGCCGGGGAGACCTCTCTGGACACCCCTGGGGTGCTGCCCAAGCCAGTTTTGTGCCCGGGTCCCAGGCGTCCCCAGGCAGCAGGGTAAAGGATGAGGAGTTTCCATGTCTGGGTATGGGGCACATGAAGAGCCTGGGGGGCAGYGTTAGGGGGATTTGGACACGGGGCATTGGGGATGCCGGTCTCGTTCCCTCTTGCAGACATGCTTTGCTCTGCCTATTCATCTGCTGGAACAGGGCTAGCAGTTTCTGAGGCCCTCAGGAAGGCTGAGGGAAATTGCTTTCAGGTCAAGACCTGCTTTAGCCTGCAGTGAATTACTACGCCTGAGTTTTAAATCTTTGCAAACAGAGGATTATGGTGGTGGTAAATACTGGGGTAGGCCTGGGGATTGCCCTGCAGCAGGATGCAGTGAATGCAGCTTTCCCTTCAGGAGATGCGGAATGATAGAGGCCAAAGAATATAAATTGAGATATAGCTTTGGTTACAGCTCAGATAATATTTCTTCTGGATTTATATTTCTTCTGAAAAAACTTCTCAGACTAAGCCGTGTATTTCTAGCTGAACCTCATAGAGCTTTTTTCCCTTTTAGATGAGGGCAGTACGTTAGTTGTGACCAATTGCTGAGAGCCCYGGATTAGTGCAGGATTTGCAAGAAATTTGGAGCTGCTGTGCAGCCCGGGTGTTTGGCTGAAGCACAAACTCCCAAGTGATAAATGCATTTGAAATGGAAAAGTTCCACTGCTGCTCTGAAAGATAGCTCTGTGCGCCTGCTTGCTCTCATCATCTCCGGGTGTCCAGTCCTGACAGCTGCTTTTGAGTTTGGRRAAAAAAAACAAAAAGAAAAAGGAAAGGCTTCTTCCTGTTTTCTGCATAATGGTGACAGCGAGCGCCGAGCGCCAGAGCCCGGGGATGTGGAGGCTGCAGCACGGGCGAAGCCCGGGGAAACGGGAGAGCCGGTGGCTGCGCCGGAGCGCCCGTCCCCAGCAGCACTGGGCTCCGCACTGGGTGCTCGAGAGCGGGCAGGCACCGTGATGCCCACGGGGACCAGGCCCTTTCCATCTGCCCCACGCCGYGGCCGGGAGCAATGCCCAGGGAGGATGGATTCACCCTCCTGTCCGGAATTGCCTGGCAGCGGGAAGGATGAGGGCCGTGTTTGCTGGTCTCTGTGGAAACAGTGCTGGAGGGCAACTCRGCTGCACGTGTAGCCCGCAGGGAGCTGCAGCGGCCCCCGTGCGCAGTAAGTGGGGACTGAACCAGGTTGACAGTCGCCCTAATCCAATTAGCGCCAACGAGTGCTAAGCATCCCAGGCAATTTGCTCCTGGCTTTTGTAAGGCCCATAAATAGCCCTGGCATTGCATAAGGCAGTGGCCGCTGGGCCCGGCTGCCGCTCCGCGGGCGTCCTTGGCCACGCGGGGCGCAGGCAGCGGAGCCGACCCCAAGGAGAGCCCCGTTCCCCAGCCTCCCGAGCCGTGTCCTGCTGCAGGGCACGCTGCCGAAAGCCGTGGCCGGTCCGTGCTCTGCCTTCTCCTGCTCTAGTGAGTGGCCAGGCTCCTTTTCTGCTTGCTGGGGGAAGGAGCCGGCTGTCTTGCAGTTGCAAATGGGGATAGAGAGCCCGTCACTGTMACCATGTGTCTGAGAGAGGGGCTGTGACAGCAGTGAGGAGGGACAAGGACCTGGCCACGCTGGTACCAGCTCCATGGGGCAATGTTGGCACAGGGAGCAAGGGCCAGAAAGGCCCTGAATTCCCTCCTGACTTCTCATATCTTGGCTCATTTCGTAGCTGAGCAGAGGGACGCCCTGTGCAATGGTCCTGAGACCCTCATGAGTGCAGGGCTGGCCTTAAAAATGACACCCACAGCCCCCTTGCCTTCTGCTTTTCTCACTGCAAGCAGAAGATGCTTCTACATCTGCAGACCCTGCTCATCTCCAGCAGAATATTGTCAGGAATAATAAAGTTTTCAGGCTGTCAGCAGTTTTGTGCATGCACAGTGTTGTAATTCTGCCCTTGGGGAAGCCTGTGTCAAGCTACTGGAAACTAATGAGCTTGTGAAGGTGTTATTGAGGGTGTAATGTGGTTACTGAATTGCTGCCGTTGTCCGCAACGGGAATTATTCTATTTGATGCTTAGAGCTAGGGATGGTAGCACGGGCTGGAGCTGGGAAACCCATGTTGAGTAAGTAGCTTTTCCAAGAAGTGCAGAGCAGCAGCTGAATGGGGGATTTGTGTGGCTCTTTCTGCACAACAGGGAAAAAGTCCTGCTGTGGAGCTGAGCTGGTGCTATTTGCTGCTCTTCTCACAGGTATAGAAAGCCAGTCTTCTGACTGGTGGAGGGGATTGATGGGAACAAAAGGTTGCCAGGAATAGTTTGTGATGTAAATCATGCCTAAAATGTAGTATGGAAGTGTTGTCATGATGGTTGAAGGTTGGTGGCTGTGTACAGAGGTTGCAGCAGGAGTGAGTTTGCCCTAGATTGGCTCAGAATCTTGCCCACTGGGCTGGCTGGGCAGAGCCTCGTTGGGTGTAAGTCATTGCCTCTGTTGGTACTTACTCAGCAAAGCTTTCCTTCTTTTGTGGCTGATGTTTCTTTCCTTTTTTCTCTTTTGTCATTTCAGAAATAACACGAATCATCCAGGTGGACTTGGACGTGAAATACAAAGCCAACATCCGAGACCTGTTTGAGGAGTTTGACAAGTTCAAGGAAGGAGCTGTGATTGGGATTGCCAGGGAAATGCAGCCGGTGTACAGGTACGGCAGCCGGCCCAGGGCAGGAGCACGGGGAAGGGAGAACAGACAGCAAGTGGCTTTTATGTTTTCTGTTCAACTCATTCAGTCTTCAGAGCAAAATCTACAGAGAAAGAGTTTTCCCATTTCAATCCCAGMAGAGGAATTTAGTCGGAAACTCCTAGGCAAATATGAGCAGCCACCACCATCATTTCCCTGATTTCACACATCATGCCAAGGCTTTCAAAACTGAGTTGCTGATAAGCAGTGCCTGAATGCCTGCCTAGACTCACACAATACSTGTTAGAGGAGTGTCTCCATTTCTGTTTAGATGTTCTAAGTGAATTTTGGAGTGTTACTTTGTATAACAAGGTCCAGAGTTTTGGGCCATGAATGCTGCTGCTCTGCCAGTGAGAAGCAGCATTTCCTTCTTGCAGGTGGACCTGGCACCAGTGCATTGCAGAAGTGCTTGTGCAGTCTGTGACCCTGACCAAGAGCAGAGTGCAGACAGGCAGCAGTTGCAGCCTGAGGACTAGCTCTGAGCAGCGTAGTTAGTGGCTTTACATCCTGCTCTTTAGCTTTTCTCTTTGTTTTGCTTTCCTCCATGTTCCCCACAGAGCTAACCCAGCACTGGGGAATCACACTGCCTGGACGTTTAAGCAAATCACAGTCTGCCTTCTCTGTACATGAGCTTAGCTTAGCTGGGAATTTGAATCCCCTCCTGTGCAAGTGCAGGATCTTCTGGGGCATGTCACGACTGCAAGAGAGACGCTCTTGTGTTGATGGCATTTGGTGGTTTCTCCATTTCCRTGAGGCAGAGAATACATTTGAGTTTGATAATGAGGCACAACACAGAAGCAATGAGTATGCACTTAGGTTGTCCCCTTATGTGCACCACACATGTGGGGTGGTGCTGCTCCAGTCCTTCAGCCTTGGACTCCCTGCTTGTGTCAGCAGTGCTGTTCGGATGCTGTTCCCAGCTGCAGTGGGCCCATTGTTGAGGAGTGTTCASACAGAGAAATCCACATGGGTAAAACTCGATGACCTGGACTTGCAGGCATGCAGATAGTCTCATGGTCTGCTGTGCAGATGTTCAGGTCTCTCCCAAAGCTGATGGAGACTTTGAGACTTCATCACTCACAGAGAAGAGCCTCAGCCTCTCAGGAGCAGCAGCCAAATGTGGCAAAGTTATTTCCAGAGTTGCTAGTGCTCTGAAGCTGCAAAGTGCTGCTCTGTCATTCGTGAGTGGTGCTGTAACTATCTGGCAGGAACAGAGCTGACTGACATTTCTGAACGTGCTCGCCGTGGATTCATTCCAGCTGGGCTTAAGGATTCAGTTAGTGCTTTTTATGCTGGTGTGAAACGTGCACTGGAGAAAATGCCAACTGGGCAGTCTGGAGGGGAACTGGGCAAAGTCATGGACAGAGATATTTGGTGGAGTCAATGACAGGGTCTCTCTTAAGGTGTCTGGTACTGCTGATATCCTGCATGGACCCATGTATCTCCTTGTTTCTCATACAGCTTTCTGCCACACGGCCGGTCTCAGTGGAAGTGGGCTCCAGCTCTGGTTTCTCAGGCAGTGGAGAACACGAGATATCCCACTGTGGCTTGTTCTTTGCAGCCTTGGCCCATGAGCCAGCAGTGGCCGTGGTGGCAGCGAGCTGCACGCTGAGAGCTTGCCCAGCTCTTCCCACTCGCAGGGCTCAGAGTGGAGCAGCTCCTGGTTCCTTGGGGCTGAGCRGCATCCAAAGGAGGCAGCCCCAGGACGTCCCCATCGCTTGCTGCCCTCCAAGACCCTACAAGGCGTGTGCTTGCTCGTGTGGAGCTCTGCAACACGGAGGGATACAGGGTGACAGCCTCGTGCTTGGGAGGAATAGTTGGTGAGAAAGGTCTTGTGGACAGTGGGTCAGCGAGCAGGGAAAGGAGCTGGGTCCCTGCTCGGCAGCGAGGGCAGCCGGCACTGGGTGAGTGCTTGGCAGGATCTACTGGGACCAGCAATGACTTCAGCCCAAGTAAAGTCACTAGGCTGAGCTGCATCCAGAGCTCTCCTGCCCAAAGGAAGAGWTGTAGGTAGTCAGTGCAAAAGAGTTGTTTCCCAGTTCTGCAAAGTGGGGCACCGCTCGATCTGTAGCTGCAGCGGCCAAACAGCTTTGCTCCCAAGCCTTGTCTTAATGCACTCTTTGTTTCATGCCAAGCTGGTGGTGCCCTTCAGGAAAATCCCCCATCTCCTTTGGCCCAGGTGCGAGCTGTGTCAGCCCCTGACTGCAGCCTGCAGCCACACCAGGCTGCTCTGCAGAGGGGCTTCTCATTAACCCTGTCTCCTGTCCCCAATGTGCCACATGCCTGTGGGCATCACRGTTGGACTGAATATGGGGAGAGGGTGAGCGCAGAGTGCAGGCATCGCAGGAGGTTGTGATCCCTTGGCCAGTGGGGCTGGAAATAGGTTCATATTTGAGCAGGTGCTGTGTTAAGTGGGATCAGATATTTCCAGATCAGTACTTACCGAAATTGATTTAATTTATCCTGTCTTGTTTAAAGGATGAACCTTAATTTTCATTTTAATTATTGGTGAGTCAGATCACCAGCTCAGGATGCCTTAAGGAGTTCTCGGCTGAGCTGAGTGTCTGAAATAGCTTGGGTACGTTCGCTAATCCTAGTGGAAATGTTCTCAGGGAAAGATTTAAAAAGCTTAATAACTCAGTACGTCTCTTCTTTTCCTACTGGCAGCTTTGGGGGCTCGATAGCCGACCCTCCCGATGGCTGCGTGGCCAGTGCAGGTGCTGGTGGTGTCTGCCTGGGCACCAGGGCCGGCTGCACCCCGGGGCGAAGGCTGCGCAGGGCAGCGTGGCCAAAGAGAGGGCTGCTCTGCTCCTGCTGCAGGTGCCCCAGGGCGGCACCGTGAGGGGCCTTCTCCAGCAGAGCATCGACAGGAAAGCAGCTCTCCAGAGGGTTGTCTGCAACCAGCAGAGCTGACTGGTATGAGGAGCTGGGGAGCAGGGAGGGTGTCCGGCTCCCAGCTGACCTGTGGAGAGTGCGGCCCCGTGCAGTTACTCCCACAGGAATTCCAGACCCGTGGAGTGGCGCCCCCGGGAGCAGGGCTGGGCRCACAAGGGACGTGGTTCTGTGCTACCTGTAGACGGCAGCAACTCTGGGCATTAGTGTGTACAGGGAACAGCCAAGAGAGCAAGTGTGGGGAAGGGGCGGCAGGGCCCTCACACGGGCATGGGGGTGAGCAAGGGGCTCTCTGCTCTGGGTGAATGGTGCTGCTTTGCAGGCTTGTCCTGTCCTCTGTGAGCTCTTCTCCTGCCGTCTCCTGCGGATATTTGTTCCTGCTGCCTAGGCACAGGCCAGGAATAACCCATCCAGACTGCTGAAATGAGTTGCGAGATTCTAGACAACATATTTGTCTTGCAATTTGAGCAAGGATGCATCTGCCTATCTGTCCTCTCTGGGCCAGCATGGTATTGATTATATAGACCYGTTCCGTAGGCCCTGGAAGCGCCGGCAGAGCAGACCTGGAGCRGAGGCCGGGCCGACCTGCGTGTGCYGTCCCGGGAAGGAAGTCAGCGCTGGCAGGCACAGCAGTGACGTGCGGGTGGCCTCACGGGTCACAGCCCAGGCAGCGCCAGGGATACTGAATCACCCTTCCCAGAGAAAAGGATTGGGGAATTTCTGCTTTCCTTTGTAATTACGTGTACAAAAGCACAAATCGTCAGCGGAGAAGGACAAAGCTCGCTCCRGAGCCTGTGTTTTTCTTCACTCTCCATCTCTTTCAATGACATGCCAGTGATAACAGGTTTGCTCACAAATACAACTTTGTTTTATATGCAGTTCATAAATGGAGTTCAAGTCTGCAAAGCGTCTCTCCTTTCAGAGCTGAGGCTTTAGAGCAAGTCATATAGCACCAGTTTTAGATCAGGAGTCTCGTCCTAACGTCTCTGGCCGCAGAGCTTAGCTCAGCTGCCGTGTCCCTCCCRTGCTGTCATTAATCACCACCGATCATTTTCTAGAAGCCTGAGCCAAACATGAACACACTCACGAGAGCATTTCTGGTTGTGCTTACAGCAGAAGCCAGCGCTGTGCCCGGGCTGGAGAGAGGCGTCTCCGCGGCTGTGGTGACTGTGTCGCTCTCTGCTCCCGGTTTGTGGGCTGGCAGGGCGAGCCGGGCTCGAGGGAACCCACATGCTGACTCTCTTCTCCGTAGGGTGACGCTGCGTTCGGAGCATGAAGTGCTGCTCTATCYGCTTTGGGTGCCCTGGCAGGGTTTCAGCGCCCGGAATGGTAAATCCAGCCCCACTTAATCGCGTCCGATTGTTGGAGCTTAAAGTAACCGRCAGGGAATGGCTACTGCTAAGCACAGTGCCGTGGCTGGAGCTGACTGCTGAGCTAAACTGGTGTTGCCCAGCAAGGCAGATCCCTTTTGTAGCAGTGTAGTCTACAGAGTTAAGTGAGTGGGATAGATTACACGTTTGGTTGCCTGAGTTAGTCCAAGGCTGAGTCCGTATCGCTGTCCCCGAAGGCATCAGCTTTGCATTCGTTTGGTGCAGAGCTGGAGAGTGGAGACGGTGACCGCTCTCTGGCTGTGGTTTGTGGGACAGGACATGCTTGGAGGTGCTGCAACACCCAGGGGTGTTCAGCCACAGGAAGGGTCTCCAACCTCCGTGTCTCGGGGACGAGGCTGAGCTCTGCTGTCCAGTGAATGTCTGTGGCCTGAGCTGAACCCGTCCTCCCCAACCTCCTGCTGCAGGTGGTGGGTACAAACAAGCCTAGTAATAACAGTCCCTGCATGCTGCATTCCTTGGTTGAACTTAGTGTTGTTGCAGTTTTGGCTTTCTGGGTCAGTTTGGGCTATGTTATGTTTTCTTGGTGTGCTGCTTTTGTCTTTATTTAAAAGCAAATGCCTCGTGTTTCTTGTCATCAAACCACCCAGCATGGAAGGAGCCCTGTGCGAGCACAGCTTCTCCCTCCTGCTCAGCGTCCAYGTTGTTAGACTTGCACCTCTCTTTTAAAAGGACTTCAAGACA